ACAGACCCAAAGCATTAAGTCAGTGTTTGGGGTGATGAGATTGCAATCAATACAGGTAGGGCGAACTAATAAAATTATTTTTCTTCTCTTTTCACTGACCTAACACTCATTTCACTCATTATCGTCTATTATCCTATTTTGATTTAAATAACTTCTTTGCCTTCTTTCATAATTGTCTCATATACTTGTCTTATCCTATCATCCATGTTATTTATCTTTTATTTTCCCATTTACTATTTCTCCTTCCTCTTCTCTTTAATCTTCAATTCCTTCATCATGTATATTTATTTGTTCGGGTTCCGAAAGGGTTGCATATATTGAAACATTAATTTGAAACTTATTTCCGTTCCTCTACTGCCCTTTGGAGCTCTTATTGCGGTAAAGCTAAAGCTATCCCTGTAACAGGCCGTTGAGTCCCATAAGGTTGTGAGACGCCGAGGATCCCACGTTTTCTAGAAAATCTGCTCATAGATGGCGGTGACGTCGTCAGCCTTACGCGCCGACCACATACTTACCCCCCCCCCTGAAAATTCCTGGTACTCATTTCTGTTAGAGGCTGAGTCGACCTCAGGGTCATAGTGCGGCTGGGAGGATTAGGTGAATTAAAAAATGCAGTGACCTCACTTATAATCGAACCCGCGACCTTCAGGTTTACAGAATATTATTATTATTATTATTAAAGGGGTTTAGTTTTCAGTTAAGGAGTAGCAGTTGAACTCCCATGTCCCATTTTTTATATCAGGAACATAGCAAGAAAGCAAAATACCGGAAGAAACTGTCCTTGATGGAAAGTTCTTATACTGCGCATGTCTTGGGAACCGCGCGAGTGAACAGAAAGGCGAGACAGTGCACTGACACTCTTGTTGTTCGGCCCCACGCCTTCCGTTTGAGGCCATTCTCTGTCCAGTTATTGCCTTACATCTCTGTTGTTCTGATAAGGATATCACAGTCCCAAATGTAGGAACTTCCAGAGGCAATGCTCAAAATTTCATTGTGGTTTCGGCCCAATGCTCTGCCTCATGTCGTTAGAAGTAACCGCAGGACTGAGAGATACATAAACAGGTTTAAGGTTTCTGTCGGTCCGCAGGGAGGCAGTTTTGCTGAGGAAACAGCCGCGTTATAATCACACGTTAAAGAATTTCAGCTATTTCGACTCTGTCTCGCATTGCCTAAACTCTTCTATGCCGTGTCACACTGCGGCAGCCATCTTGCTCTGATATTAAGCTGAAAGATCAAATTCAGAACTGTATCTCATATCACATATTTCTATACACGGAGCAGTATTTATTAGAAAATGTCGTTTGTAGTGATCAAGTTTATAAATCTATCCAAAGAGTTTATATATTTTTGCATCACGTAGCTATCGCACGTACCGCTTATAGAACACCGCTTCCCAGTTACTCCATTGTTGCGTGTTACGAATCTGTTGCCGTCATCACCTAGCAGTGGCCATTATTTACGAAGTAATTACGTAGCAGTGGATGTTGCATAGCTCATTTTTTCGGTCGTTGCCTAACCAGAATATTTTCATGATTTCTCACACTTTTAATCACCTTTTATCCAGGCTTTCGTAATGGTTTATTTTCGAAGACTTTTGTGATTTGCACTATCCATATTATAGCAATAGAAGGCGTCAGTGTGGTTCCATCCATGGATAATTATTAAAATTAATTTCTGGGGCACATGCCTAATATTGGGAGACGTAGAGCGTCATAGGTTAAATTTGGTTATGTTACTAAATTGGGTACGTTTTCCTTACGTAAATAACATGCTATTTGTGCTTCAAATTTAATAAAAACAAGAAATATTCATGTTTCTCTGTTTCAAATCTAATTAAAAATGATTAACTTTAGATGAAACATCCCACCTGTTTCTGTTCTCCTTGGCTAAATAGCGGCGAACTACATTAATGTCACCACGACGTTTTCAGTCAGAATACGCAGCTTATTTTAACTTGCAAAAACAAGAAAGAGTCTGAGTTCCAGTTTATATTGGTTATATTCATTTATTTTAACTGTCGGAAGCCCAAAGTTTTAATTCAGCTGTTTGAGAAATAGTGGATTTGACTGTACATTTTTACATGAATGGTAACTCAATTTAAGCAGAATAGACAATACAATAATATTGCATGGTGCAAGGCAAGCTACGGTACTCCATGGGTCATAATACTGTCACGTGACAGAGTGACTCTAGGCGGGGTTTGGATTGTTATTTGGATTTATTGAACACTTACAGAACGTAACTGCAGCGCTATCTCTGATCCTCACACTCTGCAGTTCACTACAGCACACACCAAGTCTTCTCAGTCTGCTTATATTCACCAGTGGACCTTCCCTGCTCCCGGCCTCACGTTCTCGCAGGCTGGCGGCCATCTCACACCAACTTCCTACTCTTCGAACTGTCGTCTTGAGACTCCTCTGTAATGGGAGCTGCTCTTTGTTATATAGCCTCGGTACGGACCGCCCAGACAGCACCGATTCCAACAGTTACTCCATTGTTGCGTGTTATGCAGCCGTTTCCTACCGGTGACCACAAAGAACACCGCCTGCATCACCTCTTTTGTTTTGTGACGTCACCGCTCACTCGTATGCTGCGGGCGTTCCATAGCAACGGGTGTACTCTCCACGTATCTTGACACCTCTTATTGTTGCGTGCGGGCATAACCTAGCAACGGCTGTTTCTCTGCCTCCATAGTTCTTGCTTTGAGCAAATACGCCACAATATCCAAATGAATCTTAGAGACATAAGATGGAGTGATATGGATTGGATTCATCTGGCTCAGGATAGGGACCAGTGGAAGGCTCTTGTCAACACGGTAATTAACTTTCGGGTTTCATAAATTGTTGGTAAGCCCCTGAGTAGCTGCATCACTGGCGGCTTCACAAGAAGGGCCCAGCTACTTGAAGTTAATTAGGTAAGCAGTTAGCGTTACCACATATTGAACAATGTAAATGGAAGTAGGGCATAATGACTTTCTTCTCAGACCCCTTAATATACTTTGTTTTTGCAAAATATTCATTTCGCAGTCCGCTTCGTGTACCGAGGTTTAATGGCTGTGTGTCCGAAGCGATTGTGTGCGCGGGTACTGGTTTAGGGCGACTTGATTTACCGAGTTTAGTATGACGTCACATTGCGATGACGTTGATTGGGCGCGATTGAAAGTGACGTGTGTGACAGCTGTATACATGTCAGGTCGTTAAATTCCTCTGAAGCGGCGTGAGGAACGGAGAGGGGTGTTCCATAGTCGCCCAAGTTGTTTCTATCCGGCCATATTAGTGGGATAATGGGGCAGCTAACTACTGCCTGCGGAGGTCTGCGCTACATAGCGGTATGCCTGATAGCCGAGTGTGGGTTTATTAGGCTGTTCTATACCATTCTCAGACGTTGAATAGTTCCCATGGAGACGCTTTACAGAGTCATAACAAATCAGTACCTTGCCAGAATTATTTTGTGGCTTTATAACGTTGTCAACAGGTAGACCACATGGCCTAATAGAATTTTATTTCGGAGAAGAAAAGGAAATCTCGGTGTATGTAGTATAGAATTTCTAAAAAAACTATAGAACACAACATTTCAGAAACTGAATGTGTTTTCAAGCGGCCAAAGAGTGTAGCTCTCTTCCCCTCATCTGAGGATGGAAACAGATTCATTTTCCGAAACGCTGTGTTCTTCTGTTGAGGTTAGCTCTTTCTAAGGGACCCAACAGTGTATTTGTCCCCCCTCATCTGAGAAAGGGAACAGATCCCGTTTCCGAAACATTGGTTTTCCTAGTTTTTTTTTTTTTTGTTTTTTTTTAAATACAGAACGAGGGACAAAGTCCGAGAACCCAGCAATTCTGAATGTACCCTGCAGCTTACTAATGTTGAGCTGGGCTGTATATATATTCGCCGATATGCTTTAAAATGTCGCAAACATTTTTCGTCGATAAAGAAAATCTTTGATGTGTAAGATCTCAAGTTTTCACGGTAGCCAAACATGATAAAATCTTTCTGGGCTATCAGCCATGTCAATTGGTTAGAAATCATACTCTTATAATGATGGGAACAGATGTGGTTACTGAAACGTCGATAATTTTTAACCAGTTGAAACGCTTGATAACCAGAGAAGATTTTATCATCATTTTAGTATTCTGGATGATTAGTGTTCATTTGTTTTATCTAATGGTAATGTGATAGTGCCGGTCACGGTAGCCGAGCGGTCTGAGGCGTGCACTGTGTCTTCGCTCGCTTGGAAACCGGGATCGTCGGTTCGAATCCCACTCAGGGCATGGATGTTTAGTTTGTGTGTGTGTGCGTTTTTCTGTGTTTGTGTACAGGTAGAGGCCTTGCGACGAGTTGATCACCCGCCCAAGGAGTCCTACCGAATGTGTAAGATCTAGAAAAACCGAAATGAACGGAGAAGTTCATGGAGTTAGGCCTGGGCCCACTGGGGCTGTGGTGCCAAGGAAAAAAAAAAGTGTTCAATAAACTGTCTTCGCTCGCTCGGAAGCCGGGATCTGGGTTCGAATCCCACTCAGGACATGTATATTTGTGTGCGTTCTTCTGCGTTTGTGTAGAGGTAGAGGCCTTGAGACGAGCTGATCACACGCCCTGAGAGTCCTACCGTATGTCTAAGATCTAGTAAACCGAAGTGAAACGGAGAGTTCCATGGAGGTAGGTCTAGGCCCAAATGAGGGCTGTAGCGCCAATGGAAAAAAAAAAAAGTGTTCAATAAATCCAGTTACCAAACGAAAACCCATATATGGACTCACTCATACACGTGACAATAAGAAACTTGTAGTATACCAATTATACGATATAGAATTCACTCCGTTAAGGGGAAATTCTCTTGTAATGTTCGAATCTTTTTAGTTAACCGTACGAAGCAATGTGAATTGGTAAGGTATATAGGTATAAGGCTCAGAATTATTGCATGATGCTGAAAGTCCGAGAATGGAGACTGTTAAGGAAACTTTCCCTTGCTTCGGTGGAACTGAAACAGACAATGTCCGTGTGTTTCAGATCTCGTGGGTCCGTCGACGCGACTGGCATATCCTCACATCCGGAATGTTCACCTACACGAACGATGAGAGGTTCCAAGTCCTGCATTCAGAGGGCTCTGACGACTGGACGTTGCAAATCAAGTACGTGCAGAAGAGAGACAATGGAACATATGAATGTCAGGTAAGTGACACCTGCCTCTTTGTACGGTTTCTTCTTTCTCCCTTCAGAGAGCAGGACGTGTCGGCTGTTCCAGCTTCGATGATCGGTCCTACCCCTTCTTGTACAGGGTGTTGCATGCATAGTGAGACTTTTTCGAAACGAAATAATTTTGCAAAACAAAAATATTTCATTCCGAACGAATACTCTGTTTGCATAGTTTCTGGATGCTTTTGTGTATTTTACCTTAGTGAAGTGTACTTCTTTGGATAATCGTCTTCTTGTATGTACTGCTGTGTATGAGTTAAGAAATTATGCAACACTTTCCGTCTGTTCATTCTCGAATGTGGATGATTTCTGCTGTAGTTAATAGCACAGCTGATAAAATGTCGTCACGTTCGTCGTAAAGTGATGCGGTCACTAATATACGTTACAGTTTTGTGTTCTGGCTATGTTTTTCTTGAATAATATGTTCATTATCTCAATAAGCTCCAAGATTTCGTGGAATTTGAGGGTTCCATTATCTACTTTATGAAAGTTCAGTCTTATGTTATCCTGGGTCAGCTGAAACCAGTCAATATTTGCACACCTGTACAACCAGTATCACTTTAAGTATTATCCTCCCATCTGCAACAAGTTTACTAAATTGTCTCCTCAATTATGGTTTTCCAGCCAAAATTTGTATCCATTTTTTTTTATTGCTAGTGGTGTGGGACCAAGTCTCTTGTACTGCGGCCACTTCGGGCCTATTGTACCAGCCCCAGATGATAGGTGAGGGTGATTGTGGAGCAGTTGGTGGAACGAAGTACTCTGAGAAAACCTGTCCCAGCGCCACTTTGTCCACCACAAATCCCACTCGACCAGACCCGGGATCGAACCCGGGCCGCCGCGGTGGGAAGCCAGGGACTAACCGCTTGAGCTATGGCTCGGCCTTTTGTGCCCATTATTCAGTTCTGGAAGCTTTCAACCCCTTGTGTCTATTTTCTCTGTCGATTAGTCACGCCGATTGTTAAATTATGCCCATTGAAGGCTATCCCATATAGTTCCATGTTACAGGACGGCATTATCAAATAAAGCTGTTAGTTTTATCAGACAAATTAGCAGCGTTGTTTGCAAATCATCATTGAATATAAGAACTACGCGCAACAGTGTGATGGTGATACAAAGCCAAAATCACTAAATGATACTGCGATAATGATGGATCTACATATTTGTAGTTCTCTTTGAAAATATCGTTTGATCATACAAATGACAGGATAAACTACACTGATTTATATTGGTTCTGTTTTGCCCACATTCACAAACTGGTTAGGTAGCCTAATCAATTTCTGTGAGCCCAGTAAATCTGCTGCAGCCTAGCAAGGCGGTATGTCGTATTATATAATACCGAATATTAAGCATTCCACAGACCGAAGCTTGTAGCCTAACAAGTGTGAAACACAACCTCAGATATTCCTTGTAGATACCGAATGTACCTTAAGATATTATTGTTAGTAATTAGTTCTTATGCAAATTATCACAAAAGTATTTTTAACTATTATTATTGTCACCAATATTACCATTATTATTTCAACAGAATAATATAGAAAGCATGATAGGCCACACTGTAGCGTAGTTCGGTGAGGCACTATGCTGCAAGTCGCGAGTTCGATTCGAGATGAGGTCATTTGATATTTCAATTAACTTCCTCCTTCCAGCCGCACTGTGGCCCTGGGGTCGACTCAGACTCTAACAGAAATGAGTACCAGGAATCTTCCTGGGGGGTAAAGGGCGGTCGGCGCGTAAGGCTGATAATCTCACCGCCATGTGTTAGCCGATTGTCTAGGAAATGTGGGAGCCTCGGTGTCTCACAAACCTATGGGCTTCCACGGTCTGTTACAGGGATAGCTCCTTATTAACATGCACTCCATAAAATGGGTTAAGTTGATTTTAACCTATTATTATTTTTGGTACAGTCATAGATTGCTGTATAAGGGGCGCGCCTAAACTAATCCTAAGGCTTTTGACAAAAAGAAAAAGACGCTATTTGTTGCTTATATATTTTTGCATCACCAGAAGGCCAGACTAAATTCTTTACACTAAAAGTCTTGCTCTTATCCTTTTGGAAATTTATTGCCCTCAGCTCTGCAGTGTCTGTGTTCAAAGGATAAATTCTAACCATTAATACATAGTAAGCACATTTAATTAAAGTAATTCCAAGGGAATGTTACTTTAGTAGCCCTGAAACCGGAAGCAGTGTTTCTGTGGAATGATATACATTACGCCTACATAGGTTAAAATTGCTTGTTAAAATAGGCTGAAATTGCAGCAAATAAACCTCTTACTATCGTGTTGGTAAATATTGTTAAAACTCTCAAATCCCCGGTTTAAAGAATGGAGAAATGTTAATCCCTTTTAATTGAGGCGATTCGTCTGGCTTGTATCTTGTGAGGTGTTCGGACGTAATTAAAGACCCAGTAAATGGCCGCGCTGTTGCTAAGAATAGAAAAGAAATTCTTAAAACGTATATCACATCATAAAACAGCGATTTCTTGGAATGGAACCGAACACTGACAGAGTGAGTGACTTCTAGTGAACTTCCTGTGAGTTCTCTCTATAAATATTTCAGCCTTTATTTCCTTTGTAGCAAAGGACATCAAATACGTATAACAAGTTCAATAGGAGTGGAAATCCCTTGATGACAACTTATGTTCAAACATACATGTAAAGTATTTCTTTGCAGTGTTGGAGTAATGGACAAAACACGTAAAGGCAAATTTTATATTCCGCTATTGGAGCACGCGATAGCGTAGTTGGTTGAGGCATTGTGCTACAAGCCGGAAGGTTCCGGGTTCGAGTCCCGATCAGGTGGATTTTTAAAACTTACCTAATCCTTCCAGCAGCACTATGGCCCTGGGGTCGACTCAGCTTCTAACTCAAATGAGTACCAAGAATCTTCCTGAGAGGTAAAGGGCGGCCGGCGCGTAAAGCTGACAAACTTACCGCCATCTGTAAGCCGATTGTCTGGAGAAAATGTGGGAACCTCGACGTCTCACAACCTTATTGTCCTTCACCAACTGTTACAGCTAGAACTTTACCTTTTTTACCTATATCAAACTTACGGACTTACTCATGGAGCTGAGCCCTTCTTAAGGAGCCGCCAATTCTGCGGCTACTCAAGAATTTCCCAGCATTTTAGGGAATCCGAAGGTTCATTACCGTGTTCACAAGAGTCCTCCACTGGTCCCTATCCTGAGCCAGATCAATCCAATCCATACCATCGCATCCTGTCTCTCTAAAATCCATTTTGATATTGTCCAACCACCTACTTCTTGGTCTTCTCAGTGGTCTCTTTCCTTCTGGCTTTCCCACCATTATCCTATACGCTTTCCTCGTCTCTTCCATTCGTGCTACATGACCTGCTCACATCATCCTCCTTGACTTGATCATTCTAATTACACTTGGAGAAGAGTGCAAGTTATGAAGCTCCTCATTATGCAGTTTTCACCATTATTTATCTTATTACACTTAGCGGACCTAACTAGTTATTCGTGTATTGAAATCCGTAACGGTCCAGGATGTATCTGAGGAAGGTTTCTTTCCCTTGTTCATATTTACCTGTTTGCTTGTAGAAGAGTGTAGAACAGCACCGATCAAGATATAGACCTCCTCGGAGTTGTGACAAACCCCGACTTCCGGTATGTATACATTGATACCTTAAAATTGGCATCCGATATCGTGCCCCAAAACATCCGATATTCGAGATGTTTCAGCGCTGCGAGTTAATTTTCTGGTTCCCATTTTCACCAGATATTGGCCTCCATGATGCGACTCGTCCCTGCGCAGTATCACACTTTAATTTGAGCATTGTGACTATTGTTAGATTGACAGTTTTACGTCTTAAAATGGTATTGAAATTTTTAACACTCTTCCGTTCTCGAAAAATTAACAAGGCTCGAAACATTTCTTCAAGGACCTGGCACATATATCAATTTATAACTTGTCAATCTATGAGATCCTGATAAGGGTAAAAAGGTAAAATATCCCTGTGCATAACTAATTAAGCACTACGTTATGAAGGCATATGGAAGAATGCTTGAGTATATCCACATTTTCTTGACCTCGACGCTAGTTGGAGATGAGTGGTCAGCTTCACTCTCCGGCCATATTTATGCACCTACCCTCGCTCAATTCCCATAAAATATGATGCTGGATTGATCTGAGAATTTATCTGGACGCTGTAGAACAGAGATAAATGTCTTAAACATGCAAGGACTCCGAACTCCGATCCCTAAGACAACAATCCCATTTCCTAGTCACTGTATCGAACAGGGTTTCCTGGTTCCCGTAAGTGTTATCGTTGGGTTCTACACGTATATTGCCTGAAGTTTAACATTATTAGTAGAAGATTTGTATGACTGAATGTCTGTTCAACGGAAAGGGAGGCTTCATGTGATGTCCTAATTCATTTTCGTCTAAATTCGATTCTTACTTAGATATCGTGTTATCCTTTTGCTGATATATGCCTTTTTTTCTGTTTTATCACTTTATGCAATTTGTTTCTCCCGTCAGCCCCAGTAGGCTTCATCTTTCTTCTCCTGTTGCTTTCCTCATGGGTTCATCAATATTTAAAAGGTAATGTTTTCCTTGTTTCGTTCTCCAGTACTTTGATATATTTTTTATAGTTACAATCACTTTCCTTTCAGCTGTGTCCTCTTCTGTGAGCTATCGCGCGTCCTTTCAGCTCCTTCTACTGTAAAGCTTTCGCGTCTTTGTTCGAGGCTGCTTGCATGAGTCTCTGTATGTACGATACTGCACAAAAGCGAGCGAGATTCTATATTGCAGCAGCACTGAAAGACTGATGGTAGAATTCATTAAGAAAATGTTCTCTCTAGGCTGCGCCCAAAATAGCGTGGTTAGGTTGTTGTATTTTTCTCTCTCTCTCCTTCTCTTGCTCTTTCTCTCTTTCGCGCGAAGTTTCATTTGAAGAATCCGGAGGATTTCGTACGCACGCCTTTCAACAAAAAGATAGATTTCTCGTTCTA